TTAGTATCTTTGCAGACAAAAAGATGCAACACATTACAGGACGAGAGGGAAAATATAGAGTATAATATACACACTTTATAGTGTGTGTGTGTGTGTGTGTGTGTGTGTGTGTGAGTGAGTGGTGTGAGTGAGAGTGAGAGGTTGGGTAGAGTTGCTTTTGGTTTTATTGAGAACACACTTTATAGTGTGTGTGTGTGTGTGTGTGTGTGTGTACCCACTGTCTGTCGTATATTTTTCAGGTCAGTAGAGCTGTCTGTGATTTCTTATGATTGATGCACTCAGTTCACCGTAGGCATCATCTCTTTGTCTTTGTGTGTCTCTAAATATTACACACACACACACACACACACACACACACACACACACACACACACCTTACTAGTTCCTTATGCAGCAATTTTGTACTTGAAGTGCATTTTATTGCTTTCGTTGTATGCATTTATACTTCAGAGCTGATGCAGGATTGACAGAACTATGACAATAAGAAAAACTCCATATGTCCACACTGGCAGATTACAGTAGGAGTTATTGGATAGCATAGTGAGCAAGCTAGATACAGTTACATTCTATTACATGTAGTTTCACAGGGGTTACTGCAAAGCAGAGAGTTGTTAAGGTGGCTGCAGTGTTTGCATTTCTGGGAAGGTATAAGTTAAGCGATTGCATAGATTTCTTATAGTAGTATAAAACTGCATAAGACTGGTAGTTTTTACTGTATCATTGTTATTTCTCATCTCCTCTGTGCCTCTCTCACTCCCCTCTCACTTTCTGCCAGGGTTACTTGAGGACAGTGCCAGTTGGTGGTTGGTTTCACTGCAGAGAGGGTTTCATACTGCGGCACAGGGCATTATAATGTATTGCACCTCGAGTGGGAAGAGAGGAATAGATGCACACCAAGAGAAATGTGCGATTGCATATTTATGTACTGCATATGAGTATGAGTTCATTACTATTAAGTCATTCACTGCCATTGACGTCTATAGCCGTCAATTGCAGTGCATGAGTCAATGGGTTTAACTCATTCACTGCGAATGGCTGGCAGTGAATGAGTTAAAAGTGTCTGGAAAGGATTACTGTAGGGCAGTGGTGTGGTTTTGAAGGCTGATCTGATCTCTGGATTTCTTAGTCTTTTAAAACATGTTACTGTGTTAAAATTTAAAATGAGGTGAAATTTCCTGAATTCACGCAGAGACGGCGTGTTTTCCTGAGATATCTGTCTGGGCTTTTCTTATGAATAGCACTACATCATAACTCATTGAGGAAGTGACGCATTCTCCAAATTATTATGGTTGTTTCTTGTGCAAACTTCCACTCTTCTATGTGGAAGCACAGATGTCCAGTGAACCCCAAAGATCCAGGAGAAATGGTTCTTATTTTAGTTTGAGTCATTGTAGTTTTCACTGAGTACCCCCCTTTTTTATTCTTATTTACATTACAGTTAAATCGGACACCTAGTGACAGGTCTTGGTAAAAGTGGAGTGAAAACTTCCTATATTCAGTTTACGGGAAGAAGGATAAGCAGCGTAAACAGGCTGCACCTAATATGGAAGCTGGCTGTGACTCTGTGTGTGTGTGTGTGTGTGTGTGTGTGTGTGTGTGTGTGTGTGTGTGTGGTCATATGTGGTTGGGAATATTTATAGAAGTCTGACAGGGACTCGCACACAGCTGCACAGGCAGTCCCACCGGCAGACTGTGGAGCCTCAGATCAGTCCAGTTTACTTTTTTCCAAGCTGCTTATATTTGCTTTCTTTCAATACAGTCTTTAGATTTTCACACGTTGTTAGGAACTTTCACATCCTGTTTTTAGCAGTTCTGCTTCCTCCACACATTTATTTATATATATATTGGTTTTTTTTTAATTTAGACTTAGGGTTCCCTTTTTTTCTAAATGTAATATATTATCCTATTACATTAGATTTAGACTGATTAAATTGTTGACTTCTTAAGTTCTCTCATAGATTAGTATTAGATTAGATTAGATAGAACTTTATTAATCCCTCGGGTGGGTTCCTCTGGGAATTCGATTTCCAAAAAAGCACAGCACCGACAGAAGTTACAGATATTTTATATATATATCAGATACAACATATAATACGTAGATACATAAACATAATACATAATAGCAACATACATCAGTACTAGAGATGGCACGATACCACTTTTTTATGTCCGATACCGATACCGATATCATAAATTTGGATATCTGCCGATACCGATATGAATCCGATATAGTGTTTTTTAATCAACAAAACTGTTTTTTAAATATCTTGCTGCATTTTGATCTGAAGTTCATACTCAAGTTTAAAACAACAACTACACTAAAGCTATTCTGTTATACCTGTATGCAAAAAAAATATTTCATAGTTCAGCAATACTGATCAATCTAATAAACTTAAACCTACACCATCCTCCCTATTCTGGTATTTTAAAGAGTACTTAGCATAAATATTAAGCAACCTAACTAATAGGGTTCCAACTCCCAGCAACAACAAAAATAAATAAATAAAAAATAGGGAACCACCCCTCACGCTCCACCTCATGATGCTTAATCGACGTAATCAACCTTAATTTGATGCAGTGTGAAAAAAAATGCACAGAAATCAATTATTTTTCAAGAAATATTAAATAGATTCAACATCTTTCTTCAACAAAATTGCAGACTGCACAGATGGTACCTTCCCAAAGGAAAAAGTACTATAGCTTACTAGGGTATATATATAGACTTAATAGTTACTATATACAGTAATTGACTTCTATACATTTTACATCAAATTAAAACTTTGGGTGTCAGATAATTATTTATTAAAAGCTAGACATTTTAAATGAGAATAAGAAAGAAAAGTATGTCTTTGTGCCCCCTTTTCCCTGTTAATGCCCTATCGGCCCCCCTGGCTAAACTTTGCTAGATCCGCCCCTGCACAGTTACCAGCGTCAGCTACGTAGAAAAGATCCTGGTGTAGAAAGTAATATTAAATAAATTTAACAACAGCTGATCAAGCTTAAACGTGCTGCTGTTGTTCAGCCGCTGGTTTCCTCTTTCTGGCGCAAAGTGGACCAAAAACAAACAAGAGAGACTCGCGACAGAAAAGCCGATCAGCTGATCATTAGCAGTTTCACGATTGAAGTAGCAGCCGGAGAGCGAGAGGCAGTCGCTCGTTAAGCTTAACGCAGGAATGCTTTACAAAGATTCAGAGATGGACTTACACACTTGTTTACTTCTCTCGGGGATAACTTTGTCGGAGATGAAATGCCAGGGTTGCTAGCGAAGCTCCAAATGCTATCCAGACCACCGACAGGTCCCGCATGCCACAGCCGCTCTATCACGTGATGCATACTGCTCCGACGTGCTAACGTTCTGAGGTGAGTTACGGCGTATGTGAGGTGCTTTCGTGATATTTAATGGATCGGATTACATTTTTTATTTTTCTCCGATATCCGATCCAGTAATTTAGGTCAGTATCGGACCGATACCGATACTTAATATCGGATCGGTCCATCTCTAAATACACTACATACACATAATATATATATACATACAACACACACACAACAAATACAGAGACAATATAAATAAAATATACAAAGGGGATAAATAGAATAAATAGGAATAAAAAATAAAAATACAAGTGAATTGCACATTTCAAGTATTGAGTCTATTGCACTGTTGACTATTTACAAAAGTATTGCACAGTGAGGTGAAGAGGCACTACAGCTTAGTTGTTCCCCCCTCCTTTGTCCTCCTGTTTCCCCTCCCTCTCCCCTCCAGAGAGGAGTTAAACAGTCTGATGGCGTGTGGGACAAAGGAGTTTTTAAGTCTGTTAGTTCTTGTCTTGGGGAGAAGCAACCTGTCACTGAACAGACTCTTCTGGTTGTTAATGGCCGTGTGCAGAGGATGCCTGGCATTGTCCATAATGTCCAGCAGTTTCTTTAATGTCCTTTTCTCTGCCACTGTCACCAGAGTGTCCAGCTTCATGCCGACCACAGAGCTAGCCTCCTGATCAGTTTCTCCAGCCTGGATGAGTCCTTCTTTGCTGTGCTGCTCCCCCAGCACACCACAGCATAGAAAAGTACTCCAGCAACCACCGACTGGTAAAACATCCTCAGGAGCTTCCTGCAGATGTTAAAAGACCTCAGCCTCCTGAGGAAGTACAGTCGGCTTTGGGCTTTTTTATACAGGTGCTCTGTGTTGCATGACCAGTCCAGCACTTGTGTTGGTTATTTAAAATCACAGATTCTGTAGAGTGACCTCTCGACAGTTTCTAGATCTCCTTTGCCACCTCTTATTTCAACTCAGTGATCTCAAATTAGAATTTACTGAAGGGGTTTTCCAACACTCTGCATTGCTGTCAGTGTCACAATGGTTACAAGGTGTGGATCATCTTTGACCAAATACAGTGGCCATCACTGCCTTTATGCTGCATCATGGTCGTCTGTGGGAAACATTCAAACCACATAAATCAGGTTTTACATTTTCTACAGTATAAGTCTTCAGCTGACACTCGCAGAGCATGCTGGCAAGCTGCACAGCTATAGAAACCCAAATGAAGCTTCTGGTGCACGTTTTTTCTGCTGATGTTAATGCCAAAAGAGTTTTGGACCATTGCAGTTGTTAAGTGCAATACACACTTCAGCACTTGGCAATGTCACTATGCAACTTCACGTGGTCTACCGCGTCATATCTGAGTTATTGTGGTTCCTAAACACTTCCACTTTGCAATAACACCACTTACAGTGGAATATCTGAAAGGGAGGAAATTTCACAAACTGACTTGTTGCAATGCTAGCATCCTATTACAGTACCACACTCGAGCTCTGTGAGCTCCTGAAAACGACCCAATCTTTCAAAAATGTTCGTAAAGGCTGACTGCATGGCTAGATGCTCGAAAACGATATCCCTGAGGGTAACATCCCACTGAGTATGTCTGTCTTTTATATATCGTCCATGTTCAACAAGTAGAATTAAGTAAACCATTTACTGATCCATTACTTGTGTTTCACAGATCAATGTGCGCGTCACCACCATGGACGCTGAGCTGGAGTTTGCCATCCAGCCCAACACAACAGGCAAACAGCTCTTCGATCAGGTAAGAGTCGCATACTGTAAACACAAAGATGTAAGTGTCTTATTTTTAATTTATTCCGTTTTGATCTCAGATTGTGAGGACCAAATCTTCTTCTGCAGCTAGAAGGGTTCAAAATGACTTCTACTGTTAGAATAGACACTACAGGTATTTTAGACTATGTGACCTACTGAAAGACTCATTGATTACTAATGAAATGCAACACTGAAACTAAGTGCTGGTGCGTGTACCAGGGCGTGCTTGGCTGGGTTCGGGTTGGTACTGGTTCTGTACAAAGAAAACATATAAAGCACTCTTTGTTCAAAAGAGGAGCTTTCAGGAGTCAGCAGATGGGTGGAAGTATTGTGTGGATGGTGTGCATAACTGTGTACGTGTGTACGCTGTCTGGGAAGTAAAAGGGCAGCTTTCAGTGTCGTTTCATGTCAGACTACAAAGGGTTGTTGAGGTTGTGGTGGAATACTGTGAAGACAAAATGCGAGAGAGACACATTTGTTTTCTGCTTTTGTTGTCGCTTTTGTTTTCATGTTCTGTACAGCATGAGGGGAGTAAGGCTGTGTGTTTGTAATAGATCTGTTTTAACAGCAGAAATCAGGACTTGTTGCAGTCTAAAGCTGCAGATCATATCTGTAGTATTTGTGCAATATACACACCCAGTGAAACTGTGGTTTTGTTTTTGTATTTGTGTGTTCTGCTTCCTGCTGTGGATAGCTGAGCAACCACGTTCTGTTTCAGAGCTGTCTATGAACGTGCCTTTGACCTTTGGGTACCAGGATCCATAGAGAAATCAGACTCACTTAATGACTTGCTTCTGTGACTCGTAAACGGATTTTCCTAACATTTGTTATACAGTTATTTTTTTCTCATTCATATTCTGACACTGATCAGCTCATCTGATTGTTTGAAAGGATGATGACAGTTGGTGGTTGTAGCTGACTCGTGGAAACCACAGAGAAAGATGCCAGCTTCTGTTGACACTAAACATTTTAATCTTGCAGGAAATGCAGGTGTAAAACTGCGTGACACTGGAATATTAACACATTAGTTAATTTTGTAGTTAACATGAATTGGCTCTTTTTTTTTTTTTTTTGGTGACTTCACAAAGTCTCTGCATCCATTACTCTCTAATATCGCTTTTCTTTCTATGAAACACACAGACGCACCAAATCTGAACGTTTCAGCTGCCTGTGCCTATGCATCACCATAGCAACCAACTGTCAAATGCCCAGTGATTTGTGTGTGTGCGTGCACTTGTGCTGCATAGTACTGAATCTGCCAAAGGATGCTTGTTTACAGTCAGCGTACAGTGATATGTGTGTTCAGTGTGTTTGTGTTATATTCACGCTCATAAAAAGAATACCAAATATTCATTTGTTTGAGATTATTTTGGTTTTAAAAGCGACCGAAAGTAAGCAATAGATGGGATGCCTTGCAGCTTATAAATGAACAAGCCAGTGGGGATAAAGTATTGAATGATGAGATCTTGTAGCATGTGAGTGGCTTATATAGCATTGGTGTGGGATATTTTGACAGGTTTCAGACATGTGAATGAAGACACTGATTCTTTGTTCTACAGGACTCAACAGAGACCAAACAATGACAGGTCTCCACAGGGCTACATTCAGTAGCCATACAGATGAGCTCCTTGTTGTCTGTGTGCCTTTCAACTCTAAAAAAGGAGGTAGCACCACCTTGTGGTGATTTTGAGCATTTCACTAGAGCTACTTGAGAAGGCTTCGAACCAACATCGGCTAATTCTTATTAGTACACACTTAAAAAAGCTTTAAAAATCAGTTATTTACCTGAACCGAATTCTTAATATCAGTGAAAATTCTACCCTTCACATATTATAGCATTTATTCAGCTAGAAATAGATACGATGGTGGATATTTGGAGTAATTATTGTGATTATGTTACATGAAAATACAAATCTTAATTGTTCCAAAATGAAGATAGCTCCTGTCTTTTCTCTTTGTTTTCCTCCCTTTATTATTTCAAGGCTTGTTATCGCCGTGTTGTCTGTTCTGGTAATTCCCATCATTAAGGGCAAAGCTGTTACGCAGGCAGCCAAGGTATTACAGATGTATGGATTTAGCCAATGTACAGTCAGAATTCCTAGAAAGAATTCTGCTAGTTTGATAAAATAGGTTTGTTCAGTCCAGAGATGCCCAATTCCTGCTGTAACTTTGCTATATGTAGGAAACTACCTTAATCTTTATTTGATGGATTTGTTTTGGTTATATTTCTAAACTTTTTTTTTTTTTTTTTTTGTTAATAAGAAGAAATATCCCAAAAGTTTGAAAATTACAGTGTTACAGTAACCAAAGTGTGGAAAAACAACTTTGCACAATAAAAAGAAAACCAAACCTCAACTGGTACTAAAAATGTTTTGTTTTTTTTGTTGTTTTTTTTAAACTATTAAAAATGAGCCTTTTTGTGATCTTCAAAAAAAAAAAACAGGTTTAAAGTGGAAAAGACTTTGTATCTGTTGCTGTGGCAGCGGAGCTGAAATGAATGTTAGACAAAGTGTTCAGCTGCTTGTTGTAAATGGTGCAGAGCGTGGTCTGGATCCACTAAATATCCACAGCCACAGTCATTCCACAGAGGAATCCAAACAGTGTGATGATTCAGACTGGATTGGACCCATAATGACGGCAAATTCCCTCATGAGGATATGAATGCATTCCAACATCTAAAAGGACATTACTTCATGTTAGACCACCTCTCAATTACAGCTAGTACAGTCCCTCCACATTTCAAATTAACATCCACAAGAAGTCCTGAAGCCACACTGTGGTCCAGGAGTGTGGCAACATCTCACTACAGTGCTCCATGAAGCACACCAGTCTACACACTGTAGTACTGTGTAGTATTATAGTCCTCGCTGCAAGCAGCAGAACTGTCAGAGGCGATCAGCTGATAAAGATTGTCTGTACCAACCTCGGTCATGGAGATGCTGACATGGTTGTCTTTTTGTAGGACTCGGATGTAGTTCTTTTTAAACCGTCCGTCATATAAAGTGTGATTGATATGCATAGCAACAACTGACGTGCTTCAGGAGCTATATTTCTTCTGCATCCTTTATAATCCTGTGATCCCTTAAATGCAGCGTGGCTATGTTACCTACAGTACAGGAAGTCACATGTCCAGAAGGCAAACGGAGGCAAAGGCAAATGACATGCAGCACAGGGAAAAACTGTGCTGCATGTCCTGATTCATTCGCAGTGGTCCAGATTCGCATGAATGAAGTGAGGGCTTCATTGATAAAGAGGCTGCAGAGCTCACTATAAATGGCTCACTCAAACACACACACAGGATGATAAAAGGCCACAGCATGATGGAAAAGCTTTTCAGACAAACTAACCCAAACATGTAAGCCTGTGATGGGTGATGATCACACTCGCTTGTAAAACTGCCCGTGTGAGCAAATGTTTTTATCTAGCCTGAAAGTATGAGAGTCCTGCTCAGAGGTCCAGGCAGCTTGATCGTCTTTCCCCGTCTCTGCTACACTCATCATTCCTCCCCTCTCATCCTGAAGTCTCTTATCCACATAGCTGTCTCCTCGTACCGCAGTCCCACTGGAGGCCTGCTCTGTGTAGGCGTATGTGTGTGTGTTTGCAAATGTAATTGATTGTACCGTTACCATCGCAACGGTGTGGGGTTTTTTTTTTTGGTTTTTTTTTTGGATGGGCGTTTGTGGGGGCTTTCGCAGTTGTGCGTGCATGCGACATGGGTATTTAGCTTGTTTATGTCAGCATCTCTATTATTCTCTGTGCGTGAGAAAGAGTTAATTACATGGTAGAAGTGGCGTGGTATTGACTGTGTAAATCACCTTAACATCTGAGAGAGTGTCTACAATCCCCTCTGGGATCATCTGTGTCTCTTTCTCACGCTTCCTCTCTGTGTGTGTATGTGAGACAATAGTTTGTGAATGACAAACAGAGAATTGTGTTTGAGAACAGGGAGGAAAGACGAGGGGAAAATATTCAGTTTCACTTTTTAATGATGCATCGATTTGGTAAGATTGCTGTCAGTACACGATACCAGTGAGATGACAGAGCACTTTTACTTTATCTGACGCAGTGCGTACAATTTGTGGTCTCAAATCCTGAAAGAACTGAAACTGCAAGTACAGACAACAGTCATACTGACTACAGGTGTCGGGGAAATTTTGAGACTTTTTGAAGAGGAAGTGGAAAACATAAGATATATTTGTGGTTTCAGGTGGTGAAAACAGTCGGTCTGAGGGAGGTCTGGTTCTTCGGCCTGCAGTACACAGACAGCAAAGGCTACGTGACGTGGCTCAAGCTCAATAAGAAGGTGAGAGGCCCTAAGAGAGGCTGCTCAAAACACAGGAAGAACTCCATCCCTCAGCGTAGCTTAAGCATGCTTATGTTTATATTCTTTGTAACAACTGAATTTATTCTCACATTAAGAAAACATTTTAATCTTATGACTCCTTGTAAATGGTAAACATTCACCATCCTGTTGTTAATACTTTATAAAACGACATAGAGGATGAACCATGAACACTGAGATCTGTTTTTAATGTATTTTCAGTTTAGTTTTCTCAGGACTTTCATGTCACATGCACTTTGTAAAGGGCAGATGATGAAGGCTTGTGTTCGGGTGTTCCTTCCAGGTGACCCAGCAGGATGTCAAGAAGGAGAATCCGCTGCAGTTCAAGTTCAGAGCAAAGTTCTTCCCTGAGGATGTTTCTGAGGAGCTCATCCAGGAGATCACACAGAAACTTTTCTTCCTGCAGGTACTGTGAACTGCTCAGGCTGCCAAGCTCATGTACAGGTTAAACCTGCATGAAAACTGAGCTGGATTTACAGCTGTAAAGAGCCTTTCTTATCTAAGACAATAATTACACCTTTTTTGAGCTGGTGTCATATAATGTGGCTATTGTGGTTAGTATAGATCATGCTTACCGGTATATTTGCTTTCTACATCAATTATTGGCAGTAGATGGATCAACATATCAGCAAATAAATGAGTACGTATGGTTGCCGCTGGCTTACATTTATTAAATATAATATTGAAAGGTGGTTTGATGACGAGCTGAAATACTTGGAACGTTTCAGATATGATTTCTTTGTTTTCCTGGAGTTTTAAATCATTATTTATTTCCCTATCTGCATTGCCAATGTCTGTCAGCTAAATTGGGGGGTTTTGTTTTTGTTTTAATAACCATGTTTAATGTGCATCCCCCGCTGCTGAATAATATTGACAGAAACACTATTCTCTGAATCCTGCTGTTTAGTGAAAATCCCTGTAATTCCTCTACATTCATTTAACTATAGCCCACCCACTGACTGTTGTCACCTCCAGTTTTCTGATATATGAGTAAAAGGCCTCAATTATACTCTGTTGTGGGCGCGGACAGCTGGAGACACCACGGGTGAGCAGTGATTCCCGTTATGCTTCTTTGAAACGTCCTTGTAGTCCGCCACCTGAGGTGCACTTGCCTGCCAGTTTTTCGAGACTACACTTTACAATGCACCAACTGTTCATGCAGCCTAGGCAGTGTGCTTCCATCCAGGTGAAACAGGAATGATTACTCAGCTGTGATGTTTCCGTGTCCGCAACAGAGTCCTGTGTTCCATTTGCATCGTAAGTTGGAAGGCGGAACTGGGAAGTGACATTACTCCCAAGTTCAGCACATTCCATTAGGAATGTCAGAAAAGCAAGAATAAACAAGGTTTGTTTCAGTGCTTAGCAAAGGTAAAGGTAGAGCCATTAATGAGGCACATGCATGGCCAGTGTTCTGCATATGGCTTATTTAATTTATTTATTTATTTTGGCTTATGTCTCAAACACACATATGTAGTAGTGCAGGTTACAAGTCACAAATGTTTACATACACTGCCGCCATTTGGACTGTTAAGTTAGGGTTGGTGGGGGATCACCAACTTCTGAGTTGGAAGTCCGACTAACTCAGAAATTCCTTCTTTGGACTTAAGATGGAATGCTTTGCATTGGCTTACATCTGCCAAAGATGATTTGGCTTGTAGCGCCAAAACACAACAGCAGTCTGCTCAAGGCGCTTTATGTTGTAGGTTACAAACCCTACGAGACACCCTAACAATCAGATGACCCCATATGAACAAGCCCTTGGCAACAGCGGGAAGGAAAAACTCCCCTTTAACAGGACAAAACCTCCAGCAGAACCAGGCTCAGGGAGGCGTAGCCATCTGTTGGGGTTAAACAGAGAGGGACAAGACAGATGGGAGAAAGCCAGAGTGTGAAAGGAATTCCTAATTAATGATATAAATGTATTTTAAAACATCTTTGGACTGCATTACTATTTTAGTTCAACTCAGTTCTGCTGGAAAAACAGAATTTTCTTTTTTACCCATGAATCATGGAGTCAGAAGATCTTGACGCTTGTGTGTTTTTGCTTATATGTGTCCTCTGAGCAGGTAAAGGAGGCCATTCTGAATGATGAGAACTACTGTCCTCCAGAGACAGCCGTGCTGCTGGCCTCGTATGCTGTTCAGGCCAAATACGGAGACTATAACAACGATATTCACAAGCCTGGCTACCTGGCATCTGACCGGCTACTGCCACAGAGGTAAAATCAGTAGACATAATATGCTACTCCACGTGGGTCTAATGAAGACCCACATTGAAATATCTGATTCCAGAGTCTCTCTTTGTTAAGAGTAAAAATGTGTACATTTTAGCATGATTAAAAGCCCAGGAGTGCTTCTTGTGTTATTGTTTTCACTGTTAACTCTTGTGTTGTGTCTCTTGTGTCCTTTTCTCCTCGGCGTGTCCTGTAGAGTTCTGGAGCAGCACAAGTTGACAAAGGAGCAGTGGGAGGACAGAATACAGACGTGGCATGAGGAGCACAGAAGCATGCTCAGGTGAGTGTATTGTGAAAGTTTCATGGTTATGGTTTCATATTATTTTGCATGGAAAGTTTCATTCACTGGCTCCTGCATGTTTCTCTGCTAACTGTTTTCTCCTATTGTGTGTGCAGGGAGGACGCGATGATGGAGTATCTGAAGATCGCCCAGGACTTGGAGATGTATGGCGTCAACTACTTTGAAATTAAAAACAAGAAGGGCACAGAGCTGTGGCTCGGGGTCGACGCCCTGGGACTCAACATCTACGAGCATGAAGACAAGTAATAAATCTACACATTTGCATGGATGTATACTTGTTGTGTTATTCGTGGATATCATCATTGTTTCTTGTGATCAGTGACTCAGCTCAGTATTTGTTTGCCGAAATCATTCATGTAGCGGATGAAAACCAATACGTCATTTTAACCAAAGAAGGAGCAAAATGGAACAAAAAGAGACGTTTTGTTAGACAGCTGCTCGGTTTCATTTGGGGAAAAAGTGGAACAGAGATTGATGGCTGGCATACATACACTAATGCGGTTTAGAACAGCGGTCCCCAACCCCCGGGCCTTGGACCGGCACTGGTCCGTGAGTCGTTTGGTACCGGGCCGCGAGAGTTGAGGCTCAGGTGTGAAATGTATGATTTTCAGGGTTTTTTATCGGTTTTCAGCGTTATTTTGTTATCGTTAACTCAGTTTTCCTGGGTCTTTTCACGTGTGTTATGAATAAATCTTCTTTTTTTTCAGTACCGGTACTAGTTTTATTTTGTTGCATTTATCCGCGACACCTTAAAGGCCGGTCCGTGAAAATATTGTCGGGCATAAACCGGTCCGTGGCACAAAAACGGTTGGGGACTGCTGGTTTAGAACTTAATTACACAAGAAAACTTGATTCAGTCGTTTGTTTAAATCGTTAAATCCACCTTCTAACACTTTTTTGATATTTAGTCCGAGTATGTAAATGAGGCCTGGGATGCACTGACATTATTTCCCTCTAATGGTTGTGAACAGTGGTACACAACTGATTGTTGAATCAAAACCAGGATTTTAATGGGCACCCATCGTCTGAAAGCCACTGTTGTTTTGAAGTTTTATGTTTACCAGCTCGTGCGTTTATCTTAAGTGGAGTAAAATCTCTCTCTGCTGCCTCAGGTTGTCACCAAAGATCGGTTTCCCCTGGAGCGAGATCAGAAACATTTCCTTCAATGACAAGAAGTTTGTCATCAAGCCCATTGACAAGAAGGCTCCAGTAAGTGCTGATGAATTCATACACGGTTTAATGTTTTGTTTTTTTCCCCCCCACAGAAGAATAAAATTTTTACTTACTAACCTTTCTTATGCTGGCTTCCTCAAGGACTTTGTGTTCTATGCCCCACGGTTGAGGATCAACAAGCGTATCCTGGCGTTGTGTATGGGAAACCACGAGCTGTACATGAGGAGAAGGAAGCCTGATACTATTGAGGTGCAGCAGATGAAGGCTCAGGCCAGGGAGGAGAAGCACCACAAGCAGATGGAGAGGTACGGCGCAAAAAGACCTATTAATGGATTTATTGCATGAAGTTTATATCTAAATACATACCAGCAGTTTTAAATGGTAGTCATTTCCCACCAGTCTATCCTGTATTTCTCCTAGTACTGCACGCTTTGTATGACAACTACATAAGTGACAGTACGCTAGTAACCCTTTCTGGCCACTAGGGGGCAGTGTTGCTTTGTAGAAAATCATAAGGCTGAACTTTACTTTTTTCTGTTAACTGTAAATTTCCACATATTTCTATTTGGTAGCAGGTGATGTGGCGATTTTTATAAATGCCATCAATGTGTCCAGCATTGGTTTCACTTTGTGCTGAATTTTTGTGTGTGTGGGTAATTTAATTTTACTTAACAAATTGGTAAAAGTGTCTTTTATTGACTACATAAGGGTTTTGTTTTTTTTTTGTTTGTTTTTTTTTGTAAGTGATTCTAAAACATATTGTTTTATCATCTTCAGTCTGTGTGTGCCAATATTATGTGGTTGTTATGGATAAACAGGTAAATTTGGCATAATATTGCAAGAATGATGTAAGCTGAGTAGTCAGTCGAACTGAGTGTGCACGCAGTGCCTGAAAAAACATGTTTTTTTGTGTGTGTCAGCGGGTTCACATGAACAAAGGAACCACAGCTTTCTGTGGGAAACTGGGTTAAATGGTTAATTGATATGAAGCTGGAGACACAGCAGCAGGGAGCCAGACTCAACACAAACCTTTAAAACCTTCCTCTTGAGTTTTGTCGGTACACAATCATGTGACGTTTGCTTTCTTTGTGGTCTGGACAGGGCACAGCTGGAGAATGAGAAGAAAAAGCGAGAGCTTGCAGAGAAAGAGAAGGAGCGAATAGAGCGAGAGAAGGAAGAGCTGATCGAGAGGCTGAGGCAGATCGAAGAGCAAACTCAGAGAGCTCAGAAAGGTACGTCTCCACCCACTTCACTAGTGTGTGCGTGCGCGTGTGTGACAGTGGGGTGTACTACAAACGAAGCTCAAGGAAGTATTACGGCTGGGCTTTGTTTGCTTTAGCTGGCTCAGCAAAACCTAAGCCCCACTCGGAGATAACTGCTGTCATGGTGATGGTTATCAGCTTTCTCTGTTTAGCTCTCTGTCTCAGGCTCTGTGCACGCTCGCATTAAAGGGGGCCTTTCACCTCCTACACTGATCACAGATGAAGATGGTAAAATGGTGATTAAAAAACTTTAGAGAACAGAAAACACTAAAATTTCAGACTGCTGCAGATCAGGCAAAAGATCTGGTGATTTAGATCACAGAGAACTTAGATAACATAACGTAAAAAAGTGTATGCATTTAAACTATAAAGCTTGCTGACCCACAGTCAGAGGAGAGTTTGTTGGAACATCAAAGTGAAATTAATTTGATTGATTTAACAGGTACTCTTGGTGACAGTCTGATCAACTTTCTAAGCTGTGGTCTAGCAGCTGCAGTTCCAGCTGTGTAAAAGACACATAGTAGCAGATTAGAGTCGAGTATAATTATATTTGGACATTTCCTTAGTATTACGTCACAACAATGTGATTGGTCACTTGCAGTGTTGAACCTGGAACAATATTTATTATGATGATGTGGGAACAACACCAACTCGACGATATCAGATCATCTGATGTAGCCAGATAAAAACAAACCGACCGGTCACTCTCACCTCGTACTGCACGTCCTCTGTTCGTCAGCCTGTGAGACGTAGATATTTCCTTTAGTCCTGGGAGTCATTACATGTTTGTAGCCACAAGTCTTTTATAGTGACATAATTTATATTTATTTATGTCATTTCACACATAACTTTAATTGTGGTTTCAGTACTGAACTGATAAGAGACATTTGGTAATAATGTTTTAATCACTGAACAGGGAGCTGTTTTTCATTCCTTGGAGGTCAAATGCAGTTTCCCATCCTGAAGTGAGGGTTATTGTGAAGTGTATCTAATCTGATAATCTGCACACCTACCCACAAGTTTGCGTTACTTGGCTGATGTTTAACATTTGGGAACTGCTATCTAAGACGGATCAGCATCTGTGGTTCATCATCTTATTACTAATTTTCTGAATTTGCATAACATAGAAGCTGCAGTGCAGACCGCAGGCAGCAGCAGGCTGTACTGGCGCCGATCCCAGAAGATTAAGAACAATTCACACCTGGAGTGTTTTTAATCTAAGAAATGCTTGAAGCGTTGGATTCACCACTCTGTATCTGGACTGTACAGGTACAAATGTGGAAGTTTAAAAAATGAAAAATAAACATATTTTAAAGAACTCGTGACGTTTGAAAATATTGGTCTGCTGCAGTTCTTTAACTTGGATTTTTTTTTTTTTTACCGGGTAAACATAAAATGTTTTCGGTTCATCATTAAAAATACATGTTATTTAAAAAACTTTATATTTGTTGACGACTTTACATCCAGGGTTGCAAGTAAAGCTTAAAAGTAGATGTGAGAAACATTTTAGTTAACTCATGTTGACTTCAGTTTTTTTTTTTTTTTTTAAATAAATGGATTTCTGTATTAAGACTTTAGATGCCTGCATAAGCTGAGAGGTGACTCCATTTAAAACACTATAACTAACCCTGGACCACATAAAAACGAAATAATCTGAGAGCAAAAAGGGGCTAAACTGACACGATCAAATCTACTCTGGAAACTGAACTGAATAGAAAACAAAAACTCTAAAAAACAAATCTGAAACTGTGGTCACTGCATGTTAGCGATGCATATTGAGACGGTGATATGCGTGTGCCTGCAGAGCTGGAGGAGCAGACCCGCAGAGCACTAGAGTTGGAGCAGGAGAGGAAGCGGGCGAAGGAAGAAGCAGAGCGGCTGGAGAGGGAGAGGCAGGTGGCGGAGGAGGCCAAGACAGCGCTGGCTCAGCAGGCCGCTGACCAGATGAAGACCCAGGAACAACTGGTACCTGCACACGCACGTGGATATTCATTCATTTATACTGGTGCTGTGGTGCAGGTGTAGATGCCACCAGATCTGTGAAAAACCACATAACAGTTTTTTGTTATAGATTCATGTTTGACCAGTTCAGTGATTATTCATCATTTTCCTCTTTTATTCACATTTAGAATTTTTTTTTTTATAAATAAATACATAATGTAAAAAAAAAATTGTAACCATGTAGCAAAGGCTGTGTTTCTCCACCAGAACCATCCTTTCCCTAAAATATGAGAATTGCATCATTATTTCTGCTTCATATTATTTTGCATTGCAAATAGCATTGTGTGCTTGAAATGTCAGTTATGTTTGTGATAAGTTTTTGCTTGGATGTGTTATTATTTTCCACAGGCTGCTGAGTTAGCAGAATTCACTGCCAAAATTGCTCTGCTTGAGGACGCAAAGAGAAAAAAAGAAGAGGAAGCAACAGAATGGCAACACAAAGTAATGCCTGTGTTTGTGTGTTTGTGTGTTTGTGTGGTTGTCATTACTCTTTCTAAGTATGCATGTATCTTCTTTCCAGGCTCTGTCAGCACAAGAGGACCTGGAGAAGACCAGGGAAGAACTTAAGACGGCCATGACATCTCCACCGGCGCCAGAAAACGACGAGCAGGATGAAACGAACGCCGAGGCCAGTGCCGAGCTTCTCAGCGACGGCGTCACCAGCCACCGCAGCGAGGAGGAACGAATCACTGAGGCGCAGAAGAACGAACGTGTTAAGAAACAGCTACAGGTAGAAATGAGCCTGAGTTTCTGGGGGAGGGATTCTTCCAAAGGTACACACTCACTGGTTACTTTGTTAGGTCCCACTTGCTGGGCAACTGCTTTAATCCTGCACGGCAAAGATTAAACAAAGACCTCGAAAAATGCTCAGAGATTTCTGTCCATATCGACGAGACAGTTGCTGCATGCATTAATGATGTGCGTCTCCTGTTCCACAACGTCCCAAAGGTGCCCAGTTGGATTGAGAGCAGCTGGTGACCATTTGATCTCAGATATCTTCTTGTCGTGGTCATTGTTAGTTTCCTGATCTTAGCTGACAGGAGTGTCACCCGGTGTGGTGTAGCCCATCTGCTTCAAGGTGTGAGTTGGCTGTGTTCAGAGATGCTCTTGTGCATACCTTGATTGTAACAAGAGGTTATTTGAGTTACTGTTGCCTTTCTAGCAGTTTCCAGCAGCAGGCCATTGTCTGCAGGCATCAACAAGCTGTTTTCACCCAGAGAAAATGCCGCTCACTTGATATTTTCGTTTTTGCTTTTAAGAAGAGAAAATATTTTCTGTAAACCCTAGAGATGGGTGTGTGGGGAAAATCCCAGTAGATCAGCAGTTTCTGAAAGGCAGACAGCCCACCAACAACCGTTTAATGTTCAAAGTCACTCAAAGTCCCTTTTCTCTCCCATTCTGATGCTCAGCTTAAATTTAGGCAGGTCATCTTGATCATGCCTAAATGCACTGAGTTGCTGAGATGTGGTTAGCTGATTAGCTATTTGCACGTAGTAGTTGAGTAGATGTACCTAATAAAGTGTCCCGTAAGCTGTTTTAGATGCACACAACAAAAACTGTATGTGTGTGTTTTCTCTGCATTAATGAGAACTCCTTTTATCAAACATCCAAGCTGGCAGACACGTACACACTTGCTGCCAGTTTGCTACAACAGAAACACCACCTGAGAAAACGGGTTTCTGCAAGACCGGCACAGTCGAGTTTGTCAGTGCAAATGCAAAGCCTCTAATCCCACTTTTCAACGCAATCTGTGTATCTGGCATCATTTGCAACTTCAGGACTGTTACAAAGCTGAAAGGACTAAATAAATAATGCTTCTTTCAGTTTATTAGACAAAAGCCAAGAATCGTACAATTTGATGGGTTTTTTTGTTGTTATTAATAAATTTCTGCAAAACTTTGAATGGACTTCTTTATTCAGTGTGGTGAACAAAGTGAGGAAGTACTGTGTATCAGTCGGTCGAGTTTTTGATGTTTCTCAACACATGCAATCATTGGAAAAACAAAGATTGCACTAATTTTCTGTCCTCATTGGCACTATCGTACAATCTGTACATCTTAAGGTGAAGCGTTGGTGGAAGGACTGCATCCTTTCTGAAACCACTGCTGCGTAGACACTGTGGCAAAGTTATTTTCCGGTAAAGCTGCTAAAAAAGATCTGGGTCTGAATTTTGTAGTTTAATCCGCAGAAAGTAGCCTGTGCAGTGAAAAGCTCGTAAGTTTTCCTGCTGCACATTAGAATATACGACAGATTTGATTGCAGCTTCGGTTACAGCGGCGGATTGTCTGAATCCAGAGCAGCTGTGAAAATACATTAACACTGCCTTTTATCTGCAAATCAGGTGGCGCATAAGCCAGCCTGGCAGGTTGTTTTCTTTTATCAGTCAGATGTACCGATGTCCTGTTGAACGGCAGCTGTTAAAAGCTTTTCATCCTTATTATGATATGGGAGCAACCACAAGCTGCCGGCTGTCAGAATTCAGCATTTCTTGGCCGTTTGTTGATCTTTACAACAATGTGTCTTTGTGTTTCTGGTCTTTAAAACTTGACTGAATAAACAAAAGCCAAAATTCCCTGTATATATCAACTCCCTGTAGGAGTTGATATAAATTTAAGCAAATATTTCATTCAAGCAACAATGGAGTCGATCTTAAGTGAATTGTGTCTCACCACCTCCCTCCCTTTGTCTTCCGTCCAGGCTTTGAGTTCGGAGTTGGCGGAGGCTCGGGACGACACCAAGAAAACGCAGAACGACATGCTACATGCCGAGAACGTCAAAGCGGGCAGAGACAAGTACAAAACCCTACGGCAGATCCGCCAGGGCAACACCAAGCAGCGTATAGATGAGTTTGAGTCCATGTGAGCCAGAAACGTGGATGGACACGACACTGAAAAGAGACTGTTTGGTCTCATTGCCATGTCAACGCCTCACTCTCCTTGTAAAGCCCAAAACCTGCTGCCACTGCAGGATAGCTTACCTTTTCTCTACCCCGGAGAAAGATGGGATAGCGGGCTTCGTAGCTTCAACCTCGCCAAAGCTCTGCCTAGCAGCGGCTGGCCAGCCACATACTCAGCTTTCTGCTTTTTAGAGCTCTGCCCTCGCCTCGATGAAGCACACGTCTTTTAATAAATCTGGACAAATAGCAAGCAACGTGTCGTCTCCCTGTACATTACTAGCAATTTAAAATGCTTGCATGTTTGATAATTAAACAATATCGCAACCTTTAGACAAAACGTGACTGTTCCGAAATGGTTTCTTTTATTCAACAAAATAAAAGGATCATTTGTAGCTATAGCTTATTGATGTTGGGAGTTCGCTTTAATCTGTACCTTTATTTTGTCTTCAGCAGAACAATTTAAATTTTTTTTTAAAACTGCTTTACTCGTGTCATTTCTTTCCCTTTCACTGCTGTCATTTTGTTTTGGTACAGTTACGCTGTCGTCCACATTCAGCAGTTAACTTGTTCTTTAACAGCTTGTGTGCTCACAGAGAGCCGTTAGCAGGCAGATAAGCAAACTAGATTTGCTTGGCGTTCTCTTTCCATTGAGGCAGTTGTTTCAATATATATTTTGTCTCACAATAAAGAATGAATTTATATTTCCAATAATACACCTATGGTATGATCTTGGTCCTGACTCTTCTGTCAAACAGAATGAGTCTCAGATTTGCAGGATGTGGCCTGAGCACCTCTATAGAAGCAGAAGTGTTGGGAGTTCGCTGCTGTGGTGCATTTAGCTGTGGTTTAACACAGTACCATAATCTTCCCATGAGTGGATGTCCCAGCAAAGTGAAAGCCAAATATAGTTCATATCATATTACCATAAACACCTCATGCCAGCTGTCAAGCACGGTGGTGGAGGTGTCATGATTTGGGTTTGCTTTGCAGCTACAGGAGCTGAACACCTCGCAGGCATAGAGTCAGTCATGAATCATGAAGTCAAACTAGGTCATCAAGACAATGATCCAAAGCACACCAGCAAATCTGTAACAGAATGGCAAAAATATGAGTAAACTAATGCCTGCAAACCTCAATGGACTGAAGCTGTAAAGAAATCCTCCACAATATGACAGAAATTTATACAGAAAACAGATCAGTTATTGCTACTACAGGTGGTTTTACAGCTACTGAATCATGGAATTTACTTAATTTTTTCACGGGGTCGCAAAGTGGAAAGTTTCATTTTCACTTAATGGAAACATTTCACAGCACTTTTCATTGTTTCCTGCCACAGCTGATAGATCGTCAAAAAACAGGAAGAGTGATGCAAGTAAACACAACTGCAGTAGAGCAGTGATGTCACTTCTCTTGCTGTGTCCAAAATACCCAAAAGAAAAACTCTCTTCTAAAATCGGTGTGATAAGGTCCATCCAAAAGCGATCATGCAGGTTTCTGTGGCATCTGTGGTTCAGTGTAGGCACATTACATTTAATACAAATAAAAATGTTCATGAAGGAAAATTAAAAGACTCTTATTTCAAATCACACTATACCAAAATACAGCATGTACACAGACCAGGCAGGACGGGAAAGCTTTAAGTGAGGCTTTTATTGGTCACTTTTACATCACTCACAAGAACAGTCAACATGTCTCATTCAGCCACATTTTCCCTGATCCTGTAGGTATGTCACATTTGTTTTATGTGCTCTTGTTTTGGGTTTCAATCTCTAAAGCTTAATAGAGTACAACAAATGTTTGGTGAAACAGACTCTGGAATGGTGGTTTTATAGAATAAAAAGTTAAACTCATACAGGGGCGAAAAAGTGAAAGTACTGTACATTAAACCAAAAATCAAAAAAGTTGTTGTGAAGCACAATTTTAATCACCTTAATCAATATAGTGATGAGTGACAACATACAGCGCTGGTCCACCAAATACAAACAAAACGGCTTCAATGTCAATTTTCCACGTCTCTGACACTCATCTGGATATCTTCTATCAGATATTCCCGCATTTAGTGTTTTGATGATGGTGGTGGGAAGCATTGTTTAACATGCAGGTGGGGTTGGAGTCAGGTGATCAACTCATCAATGCCATCTGAACTGAAATGTTTTGTCACAGGATAAATATGACGCCCCAGAACAACTGACGCTTCCCTCCAAGGGGACAAATGCAACCCAGAAATTCCCTCCTCCCCTCCTTTTAGGTTTTCCTTTTAATTTGTTAACTCTATGTATGAATCAATACTGTGATTTACCACCATAATCCTGGATCACATTATAGAAAGAACCACTTTATTCCCTAGCAGAATATACAGTGAAACAGCAGCAATGGTCTAACACTTTTTTTCCTTTTTAATTTTGGTTTAATAAAAGCACCACTAGCCCGAGAGATGAGCAACAAACAGCCTTTTCCTTGGCTGTGGTCCCTGAAGAGATGGCGCTTACTTATTTCTGTAGCAGAAATGAAGCTGTATTAAAGCACACTAAAAATAAACATGTGAATAAACTGTGCTAAACAGGGACTGTCGGCATTTTACATTTTTTCTATCGATAAAACACCTAATAAAATACAAACACACATCATGATTTTAGTCAAATGAGCAACAAATGACAAGTTGCTCGTCATCGGTTAATACAAACCCCACATGCAAATTCAAAATGCAAATAAAGCGCATTCAGACTGAACAGGAGGCAAATCTGAGTTCACTACACACATACAAATCTCCTATTATTGCTTTGGTTGTCAGCAGATTGCTACCATCGTCTGTAGTTTGCAGGGAAAATGCTAACTACCACCTATGGGATAGAAAAACTGCAACCGAAGTTGGTGTGTTCCATGCTTACTGCTACCAACCTGCTAGCAACCAAAGCAGTCGCAAGGAGGTTTTTGCCAGCCGGTGGTGGAATATTTATTATGCCCTGGCTTTAGCAATCCATTTGCATCCTCCTTCAGAAGCTACTTGCAAACTGGTCAAAGACTACTCATTGCTCCCACACAACCAGAAGTTGCAGACCAGTTCCAAGGACTGTGTGACCATCCCTAGAGAGCCAAAATTGGGACTAATCATGGCTATAATTGATGGTAAAATTGTCTCCATGATTGTCATATATAGATGACCCTTTCAGAAATAAAAGGGCAGCTTAAAGTACTTTATTACAGTAATGATAATCCAGGATATGCTAGTTGCCGAGTCCAGATTCAAAACACTAAGATGGTGCAAGAAAACGCTTGTGCTTTTCAATGGGGTTTTGCTACTCAATGCTTGACGTCACGGTGACTAGGTCCATCTCTGATACTGTCTATCATTTCAGATCTTTTCCCCATGAACTGATATGAACCATCTTAGTTGTTGCAGAATTCTCCAACATATTTAAATCCAGGATTCTTGAGAGCCAGGTTCTTCTTTTTGATCACTGCTAGCTAAAGAGACAGAATATTAAATGGACATATGCATAGGACAGAAAAAAGAAGAGATTTAACTGTAGTCATTCCAAATGTGGCCTGTATGTTGCTAGCTAAAGAACATTTACATCTGTGTAGTCAGCACATTAGCTATACTTAAATTTAAGTATATAATTCAAGACAGAAATTTGCTTCATGTTCAGTCGGAATTCACTTTTTCAAGCAACAGCTATGAAGAAATCCATTCACAGCATGATGTCAGGACATGATTTAACACACACTTTCTAGGGATTTTTTTTTTTTTTTGAGAAAAAAAATACACACATTTAGAAAAATACCTTTTTAAAACGTTTGTAATAATAGAAAAATATGTATTTGTACACTGAATAAAGTTGTTAATATTTATCAGAATGTAAACACAATAACTTTAGAAGTTTGTTAAATTATACTGTAGGGTGTCTTAACCCATTTAGCAAACACTAGCACATAGTGCCAGACTAGCAGGGTTACCACAGACTTAGCCTTTAGCATCATAGCGGATAACAATGTAATGATAAGAGAAAAAATGTGTAAAAAAACCCCCAAAAACCTGACAGACTGTTACTCACATTTGTTCATGCCTTGCATACAACTCTCCAGGGTTTGAGAATAAAGTTTTTTGATGTTAGAAAGCTCCACAGAAATAAAGAAATACATTTTCTGGAAAGTGTTTAAGAAACATTTGGAACAGTCAAGCTAGCTACAGCGCTTGCTGCTCCCATGGAGTGTGATGCCAGGAAACTTTAATAACAGCCAATCACATCACAAAACAACTTTAACAAGCTCTTTCTGTTATAAAACTTTTAACCCTGATCACTTTTACTGTTTTATGAGCGTGTGCCCACTTAGCCTCTAGCTAACCAGTGTTAGAGGTTTCACCATTTCTGAGCTAGACTCCACCTTGCTTTCCGTTCACCGACAATACACACAACTATATCCAAAAAGTGCACTTGAGACTTTACTGCACCCGGAAACGGGGAACAAGAATCCCCCTTACATAAAAGCCGAACTATCAGGGGCGACATATTTTGCCACATAAAAATATTCAACTGAAAACTTGTTCTCACATTTTCATATAAAACAATGTTTATTTTCACCATATATGATACAATTTGTATCAACTAAGAGAGGTGTCATCGGGCTACTTGAAATTAAGCTAACCAGGCGAGAGAGTTAGCTTTCCAAACAGTTCCTCGGGCAATAAAAATAACCTCACTGGCAGAGATAGTAAAAATAAATTATCATAATTTCATTCAAAAACACACAGCTCCAAGCAAGCTGCATTAAGAAGACACAACTTAAAAATAATTTTAAAACACTAAAAATATATTTTAAATCCCCCCCCCCCCCCCCCGATTTTTGGGAGAAAACAGGCAATTCACAGAAGTCACCTTGGGCACTGCAAAATTATTATGAATATAAATATATAAATAAAAAAAAATATGGTTAAAAAAGTAAGGATAACTGGAAACCTATACGAGCCCTGCTGGCATTTAAGGAGGTCTGTGATGGTCAGGATCAGTTGAAGTTATTAAAAACTATTTTTATTGTCTTTTTTTAACAGAACCACAGACTTTGAAACCAAACATGAATATCTCCTGAGAAAAAAACCCTGCAAAGTAAAAAACTACCATGGTCCACCATGTAGTTCAGTGGTGATGTAGTGATTTTAAGGTTATGATTCTCACCCGGTGCCTGTTTTGTTTTTTTATTCAATGTCTCATAAACTAAAAAAAAAAAAACTAAAAAAACTGTGGATCTGTGCAGTTAACACAACCGTATGCAAAGCATTAGAGGCAGATAAACCCTCCACCACTGATAAACGAGACCCCGTGTCTCACATTCACACACATTAAGTATAATAAATTAACACATAATTTAAATTAAAACAATACCAACAATCTGTTCCCCATAAACATTTCCAGTTGCCACACTTTGAACCTGATTTAGCACACTGATATTGTTTAGCGATGGAAAGGAACAGCGCGTGATGAACCGTGAAGTCAGCTGACAGGGCTATCCTAACAGAGGAAATAACTCTCATTCAAAAGTGAACAACAGCTTGGGGTTTTCAAGTGGAGTTTTTGCTATCTTCTTTTGTGGGTGCTGGTTAAGTTTCACTTCCTTGTTGGGGGAAATCCACAAAATCTCGCAACAACTGATCTGCCACCTGTCAGCACAGAAAGAAAGCCGTTTGTTGGGCTTACTTGAGCATCAACTATGGTCGGGCTGTATTTGCAATGTGGCAAATACGTGCGTGCCACGTTAATGCTGAAAATGTTAGAGCTACATACCCGATGTTGTCATCTCCGTGACTAAAAAAATTAGAAACAGAGAAACAGCGCAAACGGCTATAATTATACCCTGATATGATTGCCAAAAGAAATGATCTGAAGAAAAACAAAAAAACAAAAAGTGCAATAAAACTAAAATAATTTTAAAATTATATAAATAACTTAAATGTAACAAATAAATAAGTTTAAAATCAACAATACTGCCACCCTTGAAACACCTTAAAAGCTTCCCTAAATACAGTGCTGTTTTGACTCATAACCAAAAAAGATGAAACATGCAGATGCACCCCTACCTTTTCCTATGTTACGTTCAGAAGTAGCAGGCATATTTCTAGAAAAAAAGTATGGCAATTTTGGTATTTCTCTGTATAATAATAGCATTAAAAAGGCAGCGTGTTAACAGCTGAAGGAGTCTCGTATCTTGTGATTTTGGTTTCTGTATGCCCAACTTGACTTTTTTTATTAAGCTTACAGAGGATATCCCCGCAAATATGAGTTAGTTAAGATGAAAACTTCACTGTGTTTATTCAAGAGCTGTGCTGTGACTTCTCCATTAAAATGGCAGCTGCAAGCTCCTGAGCATCCGTCACATGTGGGTTCCTGGTCATTACCATCCTCACCAAATCTGGAGGGAAGATGCCGCACAAGTTAACAAACACCCTCTCCCTAAGGTCCTGGTATCGACCCAAGGCAGTTGGCTTTGCGTGCTGGGTTGCTGAGGGCATGTGGCTCTTGTGGGTAGGGACAGATGGAAGAGACTGCTGTGGAAGCGATGGAAGACCTGGTATTAAAAGGCCATGTGGTGATGAATGAACTTGCTGGCCCCAAGGAGAGTGTCCATGGACTTGTGGAAAACTCTTATAGGAAAACAGATCATAGTAAGGCTTAGGGGGTGGCTCATAATTAGGGTCCCAGTTCTGCTGGTGCTGAGATTGTTGGGTTCGCACAGAGTAGTTTCTTCTAGAATGAACTGGTGAGCCTTCACACACTCTGTCCTGAAGCCCATGTTCCGGCCAAAGGGAGCCCACCATATTGTGGCCTCGAGGGAAGCTCTGAGACCGGGCGTGAGTAGTGGGTGTTTGGGGTGGATGTTGTGGATGAGGTGGTTCCCCTGGAAAATTGGCGAGCAGCTGAAGCTGTTGCTGGGGTTGGATGTAGACAGAAGCGGTGTTGACGTGATGTGGCGAAATGCGAGAGGCGACAGATGCTGGAGTATCTTCTATGCCAAAATCACGTTGTCTCCAAAGACCTTGAGGATGGACATAGCCACGAGGAGAATGCTGGCTCAGACTAGGAGAAACACGGCTTGCCTGGTGAGGGTACTGGCCAGAGTAGTGATGATGATGGTGGTGGTGGGGATGATGGTGATGGCACTTGGGGCTATCATCTAACACGGGGTCAGGAGAGAAAGAATCTGAGCTGACACTGCTTTCACTGCTACAATCTGAAGCCAGTGAACTTGTGCCGAGCTCACCTGGAAAGAAGCATTCAGGAGTCTGTGGCACTACAAGACTGAGTCCGGAATAAGCCTTTACCACAGAGTTGTAGCCCACCACTGGAGAACTGCATCTGTAATAAGATTCAGCTTTGTTTGGTCCTGAAGCCCCGGCAATACCGGAGCTGCATCCAGTACTTCCAGCAGGGTGTTCCCATCTTTCCAGATGTCCAGATGAAGGCGGTCCCCCTGGAGCAGGATGTGCTACAATGTTATTGCTACAGCTGCCACTAAGACTGCTGTTTCTCCTCTGTTCCTCCACTTTGGAACTGACTTGAGTTTTGTCCTCTGAGAGCTCACTGAAGGAGCTCTGAAGGCTCCGATTTGGCTGTTTCTTTCCGGTATCCCGAATCAGCGGGGCCTCAGCCATTCCTTCTGATTGACCATTTTTTTGGCTCTTCGCCATCAGGGCATGTTCCAGCAGGCCTCTTGAAGCTACTGATGAAATTTTGGCACTGGCACGGAGTTCATCTGCCACAGCTCGCTGGGGCTGACTACCCCTTTCAGGGTGATAAAACTTGCACTTGTGGCCATATGTGCACTTTTTTCCTAATGGAAGAAAGAATATGAAGTTTTTTTTGTCATTGTACTGAAATAAAAAGCATTTATTCTCGTACAATTTTTTATCTAATTCCACTATGCAAGAGCAGACATCTTCTGCAGCATAGCTGATAAGCATGCATTTGATAAGAAACATAACTAAACATTTTTTTTATTACCATAAGGACATGGCTGCTTTCTATGTTCAGGAATAACAGGCCTCTTTCTCAAGAAATTCTCAAGACTAGGTCCATGGCGTCCCAGCGGGTCATCAGGTGGCATGAATCTAAATATACAGTTAACAGACTGAAATTAGATGCAAATATTGAGTTCTTTCAAACACAGACATAAGTTGAAATTCTCCTTTTTTTTTAAACAACAAATTGGTTAGAGTAACACAAAGACAGCATGTTATTTAGTATGTTCAAAGGTGCAGGGAAACAATGGCGTTAAAAGGAAATCCAACAGATTTGCTTCTTGTGCTGGTGCGATATGCTTACTTGTCATTTACAAACGAGTACATCAGCAGGCGCTCATCTATAAATTTCTTCCACTCTGGCTTCTCATTTGCTAAGTCACGGTAGTTGTCGTTTGAAACAATTATACCATCTGACTCGTAGGCCAGTTTGACGATGAATCTGTCATCGTAGCAAACCACACGACGTCCCTGAACGCGTCGCGATGGAGTGAAAACCAAGATCTTTTCTTTCTCCAGACGCCGCAGGATCTCTTGGTCTGAACAAGGAGAGGTGCAATAGTTAAATATAGAGAGAAAGACTAGAGTTAATGGATAATAGGAAATGCTTCCAAGAGCAGGATATTAAATCACATCCTTCACACTGTTGTTATTCTGGGACTTTCAACTGTGACAACGACTGTAATTTTTACCTGTGATAAGAGCATCAGGTCGCGACTGCTCCTTTCTCCAAGCAGGGACAAACACTGTGATGTCACGGTGGCCTCGCTCCAAGAACCAATCAACTGCTAGCTTGATACCTTGGCAGGAAAAAACTTCCTTGTTCCCATGACTACACAAACAGAAGGCAAGCATCAGCCACACAGCTAAGATTAAACTTTGCCTGTTTGCTTGTCATAGTCATACTGTCAGTACGGCAGGTTTTTCATGTTTTTTGAATTATAATCAAGTAACACAAAAAAAGCTTAGAAGTCAAACTCTTGAATTAGGCATCTGAATGTAGAGTATCCTCAGGTTGATATTGTTGATAAAGATGTGTTTTTGCATTTTACTAATGATTGTAACCATCTGAGGTTTAAGGTTGTAAATCCAACCCTCAGAGAAAGAACAGTTTTTTAAATAGTTGTTTTCCCTGACTGCTAAGACTTTGAAAAACAATTTAGCAAAAACAAAAATTACATAATGTATTACATTTTCCCACAATGAACAATTGTTTCACTTTGTGTCACTAATTACAAACCAGTGATACAAACTAGAAAGGCATAGCATTAGTTCACACAGGCCACAATCTCAAGCTCAGCTAGAATTAGCTGATACCCTTCTCGAATTGGCAATATAAAGCACTGCAAGCCACTTTGCAACCCATCTGTATTCCAACTCGTTTCTTAGTAAATCTGATTAAATCAATCTTACATCTGTTTTCACCGATGTCTCCTCTATTGCATGCCGGAGTCTTGCTGCTTGTCTCAGCATGTATAGTATGTAACATGTAACTAACATTAATAGTTTTAAACTGATATCTTCTTAAATGGTTTTGGTAAAAACTGGATTTACAAAAATTCAGAAAACTAAACAATGCACGTTTTCAACAAATAAGCATTTCTCTAAATGTGTGTTATATGGCTTTCAGCTTAGCTATATATGTTAGGCTCTTAAGCCAGATAATAGCTAATATAAAGTAATAAAGCTACACTCTTTGTGAGGTAAAGAGGTAGATACATGAAAGGAGAACAAAACCCTAGTATATTCCAAAGCTTCTCCTCCTCACCTCATGGCTACATTGCTTCCATCCACAACAACAGGTCGCAGGTTTTCTTTGTCTTCTAGCAGGTGGGACCGGCACAGTAGCCGAGAAGAATCCAGAGAGGAGTTGGAGGTGGAGGACAAAGAGGACGAGGGAGACTGTGAGACAGCTTGACCTCCTTGCTGATCCATCTCTATTTTGGTTCCCAGTTTAACCAGCTCTCCCAGTATATCATTGATAAGTGCGTCAGGGCCTAGTTTCCTCAGGACCAGCAACACTAGCTCTTCGGGGTAGCCTAGTTTGAGAGCGAACTCCACCTTCGTGCGGCAGTGTGTGATGGGGTCAGTCAGAGATGTTTCCGGGGGGTCTCCAGGAGATGTATTTGGTGCCAGGTCCAGCCTGACTGGCTGAAAGACTGAGGACTCCTCCCTTTGGTGTAGGTGAAGCTGATCGTGGTGCGGTGTTTTAGAGTCAGAACTAGACCCAGTCTGGAGCCTTTCATCTTCACTGTCAGAGATAGCACTCTCTTCAGAAAAGTTACTGCAACTGCTACTGCTGCTTGAATGAATGATAGAGCTAATGCCTCTGCTACCAGCAGTATTGCTGCTTTTAACAGTGACACCCGCTCCTAAATTCCCAGCCTGCCGTTCAGCACCTTCCACGTGTAGGTAGTCCAGATCCAGCCCTGGGCTGAGGATGTGGCCTGTCCCATCCTCCAGATGGTCCTTCAGGCCCATGAATCCTTCTCATACATCCAGCTCCACTACCTCCGTGACCTCCCAAACACCTGACTGACCCCACTGTTACTACTGATACTTAACTCACTTACTAACTAGTCCTGTGAGGGTACCTGGGAATTAAAACATAAAAAGGAACTGGTTAAATTCTCAGTATATACTCACTTGTCATGTGATACCATCACATGAGGACACAGGGCACTACACTGCATTTATGATCAAATACAGAAACACTCGTGGTCAGTACTCCATTAACTTCTACATAAAAAACAATTGAAATGTCATTAACATTAAAAACCAAAAAATCTGTTTATCTAAAGTATGGCCCAATGATAATAAAAATTCTCCCCAGCAGCTGTAAGGGTATTTTATTCTGCTTCTTCCTCCCATCTCAAGCACGCCTCTTCTTCATCAAAAGGAAAAAAAAAACGCAGGGCCCAAAGCAGCAACACCTCCTCTGCCCTGGGATGCGTCTTGACAGAGTCTGTCTGCTTCAATAGCTAATTTGCATATTAAGTTCTGACTGCAAGATTCAAATGAAAAGCTGCTGATGGTACACGCGTTATGATGCTTAAAACATGCAGGCTGAAAACTATCTTTACCAACTTCTACTGATTTGCATTTTAACAGTGATGAGCTGTGTTGTCAAACAAATAACAGCTCTGGGACAAAACGCTAAACACCCGAGTACCGAGCAAATGAGGGGAAGCCAGCACAGACGTAATAACTGTGCAGCACGGGCAATTTTCATCTGCTAAAGAACAGCAGCACTGTCAGAAACACTGTTGAATCATATCCAGCTCTCTGCTTAAGGCATTTTTAATTCTTCAGTTTGATACTTTACGATTTAAAGCACCTCATTTATATGTACAGAGTACAAAACCTGACTCTGTCATATGCAGGCATTCTTATTCTTATTGACATATGCATTTTATTTTGTGAAATACATTACATTTTGAAACAACAGCTCAGTGAGAAATAGGCCAACGATCTTGCCATATGAAACACTTCATTGCTGCTTCACACCAGTAATATAAATAAAATAAAATAAAATAAAAGCCTTTTTGAAGATTTTTTGGCCAACAGGCAGATTCTCCGCTTACCTAATCAATGCATGCACTAGCTGTAACTTCTAAAATGGGATTGACATTGTTTGTCTCCTCATATTGTGGTGACTTCATACTCAAACATAGAAAAGCGCTTCTTCTTGATAGATCATTTCAAAACAAATATGAGCAAAATTCATTCATATGCGTTTAGTGATTGCATTCACTAATGGAAACCGAAATGAACGTGACGACGTGACGTTACAGTAATTACAAAGATCTGCAAAGTTTGTGGCAAGTCATCGGACACGTTTTGTGTGATAACTCAACAGAGTGCGTTAACTTTTCTGTCTCACTGAGTAAGTGAGAAAACCAACATGATTTTATTGTTAGCAGCCCTGTTTGGCACATCTGTGTCCTCAGAGTAAAGGTAAGAATAAGCTGTCATACAGAATCAAACGCATTTTTAACTGCTTGGCACATTTTGCACATTCAAAATCTAAACGTGCAGCAAGAAAAGGTACAGCCAAAATTTACAAACATGAGCAGCCAACAGGAGATTAACTATAATTAAGAATAATTTATGAAAAAAGCCATGGATATATGTATGATAAATTAAATCCATTTTGACTGGACAAAGCTAATGTTAAGAGGCAGGAGGTGCTGGCCGTGACACAAGTCAAAAAACACAACATTTTCCACTTATTTCAAATCTCCGGCCACTATCTAGGTGGGGCGTATCAAAATCATACAAAGAGGGCTCTTTCTGACACAAACAAACGTTACCGTTACAGCTGTGTGAGCTACCATGACAAAGAAAAATTACAAACTGCCCATTAACACAAACACAGTACATGTTTTATGTTTTCCAGTTAGTTTACTGATCACCGAAAGCCCAGAAGAAATCCTCACAGTTGGACACAAACTACATTACATAAAGCTGTACTTCTATTTAAATCCACAACATAAAATCTTAAGTAATGTTTATGAAATTCAGTCAGTGATACACCAGCTAACACTGCAGTCAGTGTTTGTGTTTATGTGGCCTTCCTGAATGTTTCTCAGTTCCATCTGTGGTAGCAAATGAGAGAAACCCCTAATGCTGCTCAGAGCCTCTGAGTGTGGCCTGCTGGTTGTGTGGGGGTGCACAGACTGGCTGAAACAAAGAGTGATCTGTAAATTGTTCAGTGACCACTTTAAAAACAGAAATTAAATGTCTTTGTTTACTTCCAGTGTATTCACACAAAACATCCACTAAATTACCGATGCTTTTGGTAGCTATAACCTCATTTTGAGTTGACTTTAAATGTTGCTCATTTCCTCAGAAATACTATGTCTTTTTTTTTTTTGCCTGTCCCGTTTGGTTCCTTTGCCATCAGAATTATTGTCTAAAGGCCAACAAAGATGCCCAACGGATTTACTTTACCAAATGGACCATCCCAGCCTTGCCGTAATGGTCCATTTGATTCACCTTTTATTGTTTATTTTATTTATTTTTTATTTTCACTTGCTAGATATGGGACAGACTTGAATGAGGAAAAGAAAGGGGAGAAAGGAAGAGGGGGAAAAACAACGGAGAAGAGGGACGGGGATAAAGGGCAAAAAAACAAAAACCAACTAAATAAGCAGACAAAAAAAATACATATATCAATCACCTGGATCACCTGTTGAGAAAGAAAAAAGAAAACAAGCAGAAGAAAATGAGAGCAATACAATAAACAACATCACAATGATCTATGGGAATATAACAGTAAATACTAAATATTAAACATTATTGTAAGATCGACAGCGCACAGTGTGCTTTGAGGTAGGAGCCAAAAAGGGTGTAGTTTGTGTGTGTGAGCACCCGTGTGTACACCTGTGAGCATGAGCGCGCTTGTTTTTAAAAGGTTCCTTCATGTAATGATCTGCTAGAGGGTGTGGGGAGAAATACTATATGTCTGGTTGCATATTTTTATTTAGCATACTAAATAAGCCTGGCATATTTTAAAGTTCAAAATAGTACCTTTATTTGATAGTGCTGGATATTTAATATTCTTAAATCACACTTACATCACCCTCACACAGCTAAACATGAACATTTGAAAAAAAAAAAAAAAAAAAAAAAGAAATAAAGCTGTCCAGCGCTCAGAGCAAGCCACCAGCTAGCTGCTAGCAGCCTCGGTATGAGCAACGGAGGCAAGGGAAACATTATGGAGATGAGTGAAAAAGAGAAAAGTTATAAATATATAAAGATACTGAAAAATAGTGTAAGCACCTGACATTAGTTTTCTTAAGTAAATCTGCTGCACCAGCTTTTGTTTGGTAAGGTAAAATATGTTGGATAAAGGTGGTTTAAAGCAACTCTTTCATTTTTGCACATAGCATGTAGTTTTTAGATATTTAAGCAAGAAAAATATCCTCTAACTTACTCAAGTTTGGGGGGAAATAAGTTATATCCAGTGAAGTTTAATATTTTACATTAAAAAAAATGCTGTTTGTTTGTTTGTATCAGCAGATCACAAAAATTGTACAACTGAACCAGCCAAGAAAAATAAAATCAACTATTTACGCTCGGCCTAGCTCCTGCCCTTCATAAACAGCAGGTTTGTACACCAGGTGGGTGGGGCTTCTTCAGCCCAAGCTGATTGCCAGAGATGACTATTTCATATAATATCCACTCTCACTGACATACAGATCCAAGAGTAGATAAAAATTCTGTGAATCAGAGCGTGAAGCCTCATGTTTGGTTCATATTGAACATGAACATCCACTGTTCTAGCAGAATATATATGAAGGAAAGCAAGAAAAAGCATTGTATACAAATTACCCATTAACCTAGTTTAGTCTTGTTGGCTTCATGCATAAAAAAACAGACAGAGCCAAGATCCTCCTTTGAGGGTACCTCAAAGGTACAAAAAAAATTATCTTCAAACAGAGGCATAGAAAAAGGAAGTGACAGTTGAAAACCAGTCATATGATGACTTGCCTCAACACCCCACCTGTAACTGGTATGATGTGGACAGAGTGGGCCTGCTTCAGTTTTTAGTGACAACGGTTCACATCACAAACAAATACCAACAACTGTGTGTTTGCATGTAAGGTTGTTTATCTGTGGAAATACCCACGGAGGGTACTTCCAGTGCATGAAACTGCCCTGAGATCTGTGAGAAGTGAACGGGAATGTTATTTACAAGTTTGAAGAACAACATTTGAAGAAGATGCACCAAAGTACGATGTCAAAAAAAAAAAAAAAGATTTCTGTGAAAGAAAAATACTCTGTTATGCTGCTCTGGACAAATAATGCTGATTTTTTTTTTATGTGCTGACACAAGGTGAACAAATACTGTCTGGTAGCATTGGAAGACTTCAGTTCACTTCATGAAGCTGCTCCTCATACAAGACTGAACATTTATTTCAAAAGATAAATTTTTTCACCAGTTGTTTGCAAATCACTTCAAAAGAGCTACTTCTGCACTCTGTATGCGCTCCTATTTATGGTTATAGTTTAAAGAAGAATTTCTCAGATCGCACGCTAAAGCACCGGAAAGCAGGGGCCTCTTAATGTCCCGACCCCCGACGTCTAAGCTGCACCGCCGCTGTTTTTCATCCTGAATGCCACAAGAGAGCCGGAATAATTTAGTCCAGCAAAAAAAAAAAAAAAAAAACAGGAAAAAAAACAAAAGAGGCACAAAGGGGAAGAGAGCGAGAGTGAGTTTGTGTGTGTGTCGGGGGGGAAGAAGTGTGTCTGGCGTGCCGTCCTTCAACAATGCAGCTGCCACACAATCTGTCCTCCTGTGATGGGAGTATTGTTCTCTCGGCCCGAGCAGCATGCACAGACGGAGGCTGGGGCTTTTTTTTTTTTTTTTAAACCCATTCACCCCCCACACCAACACATCAACATGCAAAGCATGCCTGCTTATGCATCAGCCGCGCGGACTTCAGTCGCAGGATGCCAGACGGAATCTGAGGAGTCAGCAGAAATGTGAGAGTGACACAGCAAGTGTGAAAACCCACTCATAAGGCAGTCCGGTGACATGTGGTGTGATCTCTGCACTATATACGTGTGCCGTATGAAGGAGTGTGAATACACAAATGTATTTGCATGGAAGTTTTTGGGAAAACCAAGAGGAAAAAAAAAAAACTCCAATAACTCACGAGGAATGCCATTAGCTGTTCCTTGTAGTATTTCTTATAATATTTCAGTTCCATTTTAATGTTACTTAATACTACACAAAGACCTGGATGACAATTAAGCTATTATAGTTTGTGTTTCAAACATACTAAATACATAAATAAATAATATCGCTGGTGGATTTGTACAATATCTGAAAATGTCCAGTTAAACTTTGAAGCACTGAACAGCAGCATCTATTGCTTCATTTAGTTTTATAACTGTTGATGCTGTGGGTGTGGATCATAAACCAAGAATGCAGTTCAAGAGTCCTGTACAGCAGCAAGAAGTGCTACAAAGGAGACTTTTGAGTACGTTGGAAGGTGTTTGTATATCTGTCAGTCTTTGGTAACATGACAGCGTCACCACAATGCAAGATGCAGTCGCGGTAATTCACAGGTGTGCAGCCGACATGAAAATAAGAGTGGGTGCCTTCCAACAGCTTAGTGGTTTCAGAGCTGGCGTGATCCCTACACATGCTAAACTTTAGTTTTGAATGAACTTTCTGTTCACTGCTGTCTATCCGGAATAGCCCATCTTGAAGTACAGAAAACAAGCAATTGTCTCCTGGTTAAACGTGGACTTGGTTGTAGGGAGGAAACTCAGCCTATCAGATGACTGTATAGTGTTAATATACACGGAGAGAGTTTACATAGTTTTTATATTTAGTTACAGGGTGAGTTTTTTAGCTTCTGCCACCACACAGTGTCAAATCACCAACCTTTTTGTTCTTTTCAGTATGAAATATCAGAGACAGGTGAAAAAAAAAATGCAATTCCTGGTGAATACTGTTTTTGTTGAGCAGCCATATATTACAAGATGAGCTGCAGTGACAGATTGGCTTAAACCATTTAGCTGAGCATGCATAGCCGTTGATTAGTATCTTAAAAAACTTAATTACATGCATCAAAATCTTGAAGAACTGTAACGATCCTTTAAGTCCCTTTGGATAAAATAAAGAAAGAAAGAGTGTCACAAACTGCCAGCTACCGTGAGTTTTAATTTTGAGTGTGTATTTTATTGGAAAGAATAACTTGTCTACCAAACTTCGGTGAGTCAGTGTTTCAACGAGGGCAAGCTGAGAGTCTTTCCATACTGAGCAGATGCTGCAGTCTGCACTTCGTTGACCTACCCTGCCCATCCTGACAGTGGTCTGTGCGTATCATTATATGTGTTGTGATCCCGGGTTAGCCCCCTTGGGTGTGGGGTGGAAGGATGAGCTCCCCTGAGGAAAGACCCCGACCAGTCCCTCAGGGCCACCGCATGGCTGCCATTTGCCGGCTGAGTACAGCAGTGACCCAGTCTGCCACGCCAGCGACCGGCTGGGAGGGGGACAAAGAGGGTGCGGAGAGTGGGGGTGGGGGTGCATATAGGATTGGGGGGAGTGGTGGTGGGGACAACAGATGCCTGCTGAAGCCACAGGGGACCTCCCTGAAAGCATCCTGTTCCTACACCCTCCCTGACTGCAACTGGTGGTGTCCAGATTCATCCTCATTGATACATATCACCACTGTCTGTCATGTGGCTTTTTCTGGTAGCGGGCAGCACTCGGTTTCACCTCTAAGCTGTGCAGAGTCTGATTCTGCCTCCCTCGCTGCTCAACTAAAGGCCATCATACGGAGACATTTAGTGGTCCAGACCCTGCTAACGTTCGTCAGCACATATGATAATCTATAATTTGTTTACATTAATTTAATTGAAGTGAAACCTAACCAATGACCCGTTGAGGGGGAAACCCAAGGAATCCCCCAAAGAGCCCTGATTTAAAACCACAAACGGCCTTGTCTTAATTTCACTTGTGAGCTCAGACTGCGATGCTTATGTATACGACAACCTTCCAGAGTGAACTGCGCTGTCCTAAAAATCACACTCAGTAACTAACAGGTATTACTAGTCTATAAATGTCCCCATTTGAGCATTACAGCAACAAAGACTGTGCAGCTTTAACTGTTGTAGTATTACAGCACGTCTGTTCACTGGTCACATATGTTTATCATTAGGTTATATGGTTACAGAGATTTCATGATAAAAAAAGAGTGAAAAAAAACCATCAAAATACTGCAGATAATCCAGGATGAAGTATGACAGCAGTGTTATCAGCGTCTTTAACGGGCCAACACGAATCCAAGCTAAACGCACAAAAGTAAATTAGTAAGACTTACCGAACAGTTCCACGAGAAACAGCAAGGCAGTAAAGCACAGAAGAACCAAGAACTCCTACAAAGTGTCTCCTGACATGCTACTCTGGATCATATCAGCAACAAAGCACAAAGTGGGAAAGATTTAAAAAAAGAAAATGACCCAGTAAAGTGGTGAGGACTAAGCCCAGGAGTATGGCCCGATTTTCTTTTAATGGAAAAAAAGGAAGTTAAATGTCTTGTATCCACTAGAGAACTGGAGAAAGCTGCCAGTCCAAGTGGGGCTGAGCAAAAAATGAGTTTCCTGGTCGAGTCTGGCAGCAGTCTTAAGTGATCAACCATGAAGTTCTCCTTTTTTTTTCTTTTTGTTGTTGCAAAGCAGAGTGATGTGTCCTGAAGCTGCAGGGCTAGCAGTGTTACTGACAGCAGATGGAGTTTAAGGCACCTACCGTCCCCTCCTCACTGTGATTCTGCCCACCAATACGAGCACAGAAATCTCCTCGCACAGCTCACTTTCCTCTCTTCACCAAATCTCTTTCTGTACACACGCCAATCACCCCCCTCTCCACCAATAAAAAAGGGACTGTGAGATGTAGTAGGGTAACTCCACCCCTTCCCAACCCCTCACAGACACACGCACACATCACCAGACCATCCACCGACCATCAGCCATGAATGGACGAGAAGGCATGAGTTGACAATAGAGGGGAGGGGGACACAAAGGAGGGCCCTCAGCGGGCAGCTGCACACAGACACACCGTCCTTAGAGCTATTACACCCAGACACACACGCACATGCACTCACAAACACACACACACAAACAGATACACAACAAGAAAGAATGAGTAAAAAAAAAAAGGAAAGAAAGAAAAAACAGCACCCAGAATGGAGCCCTGCGTAACACCTGGCTCGGTGGAGACGGCTGTTGCCTTCTACATCTTTGTTTCATGGTGGGAGGACTGGCTTGACTCAGACAATGACACAATTATGTTAAAAGTAGTGTGTGCTTCCCAAAATGGGTGTCAGGAGTGTGATCGCCTACGAGTGCGTATGCATCTCTCTTATGGAAAGTTAGCAGGTGGGGAAGGAAGCTGCAGTGAGCAAAAGACACCAAACTAACGCAGTAAAAAAACAAAAACAAAAAAACCCCAGCCATTACAATCAGGAGGAATTTTTCAGTCTCAAAGGAGGTCGGGCTGGACTTGAACAGCTCAAGTTAACCAGTCATTTCACATTTAGATAGAAAAAGATTTATGATTTTATTTTTCCAGAGAATAATAAAAACACATTTTAAAACATCCCATGAACAAACGTAATCTTTAACAATTTCTGTGTGAGGTTTGCAAACACCTAAGGGGAAGATTGTGCTCCACGTTCCTGAGCAGATTAAATTTCTTTAATCTAAATGTAGATGTCAGCGAGGGAATGTTGATTGACATATAAATGACAGACTATATACTAGAGTCAAAATCTGAAAAGTTAAGCCAACCGGAGGTATCCTTAATGACCAGCAGGGGGCGACTGCTTTAGTTGCAAAAAGACTTCCAATTGTGTAGAAGTCTAGGTTAGAAAAAAGACCCCTCAGCTCCTTTCATCAGCGACCATGGTTCAAACATTCCTGATCATTTTATGGGCTCAAGTGCTATTTTCACATCACACTTTTTACACGTGCACATCATCTATACACATCTGGCTAGCAAAAAGCAAAAGATCTCAGTTAGGTCCTGGGAGTAGACAGGATTTCATCCGATATAAAAAACTCTGCCAAATCAAACATGGTGGAGCTACCTGCTGTGGCAAGCCCTTGTAAATAAGGGAGCAGCTGAAAGTAGCTTTGTTGTTGAGATTTGAGACGTTTCATAATCGAATTTCTGAAATTCTTTGATAAAAAAATCTCAATACCAAATCTCAGGTCTTTAAATTCAAATTGAACCTCACGTAGTGGAGCTTTGACCTTTAATGGCTCTTTGATCAAATCTGTCTTGTCTCGTGTAGAGTCATATGTGGCATGTTTCCATTTGAAATGCAGTCAATATTGCCAGCAGACGACAGTCAGGAAGATGTTCCAGCTAAGCCCACACAGTCTCAGTGGAAAGTCATTTATGTGGCGTGCCACTCATAAAGCTACACTAACAAGACACTCGGTTAGGTGCATACTACTAGTCCCAGGTTTGATCGTATTTTGCTCTGAGAACTTCATAAATTTTTCATGACTCTGCAAATTGAATTCTTGTCAAATGTGTGTGGGAATGTGGGAAATATAGAAGTGCGCTACTGAATTGCAATCTGGGCCCTGTGCTTCGTACGTCGCTCACTACATCCAAGATCAAATGAAACATCCAAGACCAAACCATCGCGCTAACCGTGAGCGCGCTAATCCGGTTCCCCGAACACACCTGCTGTTGACGATTAGTACAGCTGGACGCAGTAATGTGACATCACTGGGTGTCGTAAAAGGGGCTACGCATCGATAGTAGAAACATTGATCGGCAACCCTCTGATTGGTCGGCGAAAATGTCGACGGAGCGCGCTCGGCTCGGTATTTTTCGGCAGCAGAGCAAGAACTCTTGAGTGAGGGATTTCAGGAGTTTCAGAGTTTAATTAAAACGCAAGGGAACACTGCAAAGGCTGCAAAAGCAAGGAGAGAGGGCTGGCAGAAAGTTGCTGACAAATTAAACTCGTAAGTAATTTAATAAGAACAATAATAATGGAGTGGATTGATATAGCGCTTTTCAAGGCACCCAAAGCGCTTTACAATGCCACTATTCAGTCACTCTCACATTCACACACTGGTGGAGGCAGCTACGGTTGTAGCCACAGCTGCCCTGGGGCAGACTGACAGAAGCCAGGCTGCCATATCGCGCCATCGGCCCCTCTGGCCAACACCAGTAGGCGGTAGGGTAGATTTATTATATTACACTATATTATCCAATATTATATTACATTATATTATAATATGTTATATTATATCCCCTTTCACATTAGAGCCACAACAGGACCCACTAGAACATGGGAACAGGTAAAAGTGAAATATAGGAATATTCTACAGAATGGTAATATTTATCACTTATATTGCTTTTCGTCTCTTGGAAAGAGACCCTGAAATAATCTGTTTGTTTATAACAGCAACCAAGAAAAGGGCAGAGCAAAAAAAGACAGGTGGTGGTCCTGCACCCCCTCGTCAACAAGTTGGTTAAGTAAATAATACCCTCACGGGAAAATCGATATCTCTCTATGAGCACACTGTCGCGCTGAGCTAAAGGATCCTGTCTGTCCCGCAATATACGCTGAATTCTGAAAACTCTCCTTATCAATCTTGCACCTTCCGCAGGACATGGCTGCGACAGGCTTCCCAAATCCACCTTCGCTTTTATAGCCGTGGTCTCTCATCTTGATTACACGAAGTAATTTGCAATTGCTACTCTGAAATATGAATTACATCTGTAATAATCACATACATGTAATAGTATGTTAATAGTACATTTCCCTTTTTTAGGAAATGACCTGTATGTATCTGTGTGAAATCAATAAATGGATCAGGTGCTGCATTGTCTTTAGTTACATTGATGTTATTTATTTATGGTGAAACAGTGGTGGAATATCGCTGTTGCTTTCGTATAAATGACGCGGGCATACCTGCGTGGCCGCGATCTAATCCTGTTTACATAAAGTAAACCTGCTCCCCAGCAGGTTTACGCTTACGGCTCTGTTGCTATGACAGCAAGTCCCGGATGGGCTTCGGGGAACCGAACGATCCTGGATCACGCGAAATCGTCAACAATCTCATCCAGCTAACTCACTTAGCGCGGTACGAAGAACGGGCCCCTGATGTGTACGTCTGTGTTCTTAGTTGTTGTTTTTGTCTGATCGGGGACTAAAAATGAAAAGTAGCCCTTTGGCTAATTTTGTGGATGCACAGCAGCCACCTGCTGTTCAAACCGTCTGTTTTTGTGGGGCAGCCAATTAGAAGAAAGCTGGCTCAAAGGGTGGGGCGTTAATACTGAAGGGCTTCAACCTCTACACTGGGAATGTCAAATTTCATATTAGGGGTCAAATACAGTCCACCTTGATCTTCAAGGCGCTGGACCACTGAACTTCCCACTTCTATCAGTGTGAAGAAGTTTAACCACATATTAAATCTTTGACACAGCTTAATATAAGAAAAGGAAGTGCAACTCCAACAGTATGTCCTAGTTTTCCACATAATATAAGAAATTTTCAATGACGTTTTTAAGAGATGTGAAAAATTACAGAAGAAATTACAGTAGCTCATTGTGCAGATTGTCCCGTAACTATAAAACACAAAGTTTCCATTAATTCACAGAAAATGTTGTTATTTGGAGACCCATTGTGAAAAAATTGTCTATAGTCAACAGTGAAAAAACTGGAACTTTTCTGTTATTTAATTTTTTGTCTTGCTTAATTACTGTGGTGCAATATGAATGATCATGTCTCTGTAAGCAGAAAATGCTGAAAAATGTAACTAAAATATGTTAAAAAAGTCCAAAACTTTATGCCCTCCTTCACATTTTCCAAAGTGTCAAATGCAACAGATTCAAGTCTTTGCCTGGCCAACACCAATTCTGGACCCCGGACCTTATGTTCGACACCCACGCTCCACCAATACAAGATATATAAAGATTACATTGAACTTTACTTTATTAGAGCCCAAAAGTAAAAATGAATAGGTCTCCTTTCATTTTCTTAATTCTCTTAATAAATAAAATAACGACAATTATTACAAAGACGATGCTTTCCCGTAGCTGTTTCTAGTTCGTCTGTCTTCCCCCATCTCACATACTTCTTCCCAACACCATCCACAACGTGCATCCCCCTCATTCTTTGTCTCAACTTCTCTAAGTGACCCTTATTTTTTGTTTTACTTTTCGGTTGGCCAGTTAATCTTCTGTCTTTTGTCTTCCAAAAACAAAAAGAGAAAAAATATATACCGGTAAGGCCCCCTTTGCTTGCTTAGGAAAAACCCATGCTAAACAACTTTAAATGTGGTAAACATGGTTCTTAATCCAGGAAAATTACTTTAAATTACTTAACATGAAAAGCGGCCAAACCTGGCTCACCTGGAAAGTCCAGGCTATGCAAAACTGTTGGCCTGCTCCCATTGTTGTCTAAAGCCTCAGAATTTATCCCTCAGGGTTGAGCACTCGCTATGTTTTTACAGTAGGCATCACTGGTTCTTTAAATGCAAATCTGACCACATCAAGCAGTAATACCTGTTCTGTGTACGCCCATGATAAACACAGGCAGCATAATGGTGTCACTCCCTCTACAGGGAAGACTTTAAAAAGATGTAGGTGCAGAGTTTGTGAAAGTTTCAAACAAAGAACCCTCTGAGTCATCACAGGCGTTAACTCTGAATCTGTCCCTTAAATAATTTTTTTTAATTTTATTTTTTAAATGTGTGTCAGTTAGACTGATTTTTTTTTTTCTTTGACTGATTTGAGTTGGAGTCATCACCGATGATGACTGAAACCTCAGATGGATAAAGGTGTGTTATGTGCTGGCATCTACATATCTGGTAGTTATAGTGTGAAATGTGGACTTCTTCTGCTAAAGAAATGCTTCATTGTATTATCCATTGTCTAAGCCGTTGGTTCCCTTATGGTGTGAATTGTTACTGTACTGTCTACTGTGTACACGCTTTGAACACACTCATTTCCTCAAAAAACAAAAAAACTCTGTCAAAGAGAGCCCCAGTCCCTTTGCATGGTTCCTGGATGATGGGAAATTCAAAGGCCCTGAATGACAGCAAGGATCGTATGCAGCGTTAGCCATCATGATTCACCAGCACAGATGATTGGCGATGACCTTTAGAAGAGAGAAAAAGTATCACAAAGGCAACTTGTCTTAAAGTACAGCTAGTCTGGGGATGTCAACAGCCCCTACGCCGTGAAATCTCTGCGTTATTGTAACTTTAAGCACCTTGGAGTTGACTGTTGTTGTGATTTGGAGCTTTAAAATAAAACTAAATTGAAATCTGAGATTTATCCTCCCACATCTTTAAGGGAAAATAATAATTCAACCAATCCAGAGGCTACTGATATGTTCCGCCCTCCAAAAGAACATTCCCTGACAGGATTAACTTTATGCCTAAACTGGATCGTAGCTTAGGCCCTTGCAAACAAGATGTTTGCAAGGGCCTAAGCTTGGCCCTTGCAAACATCTTGCAAACAAGATGTTTGCAAGGGGGAAAAGAGGCCAAGCATACGTAAAGAAAGAAACCTCCACAGATGACAATGGTTTAATTGTTTTAAACAAGGTTTCACTTCAGCAAAGTTTTTTGTCTGTTATTGCTTCTGTGTTCCCTGCAACAAGTGCCAAGCTTAAAAACCAAGAGCAGAGGAGACCGGCTGTTCCACCCATTTCTGAAACAAGTGACAGTTCACACAGCTACAGCATGTAGGTGTGGCTCTGCAAAGCTCTGTTTAGACACTTGGGGACAGTTGGCGAACTCTAACCTTCACAGAAAACTAAAGAAGCATTTTTAAAAAGCACAACAAACATCCCTTCAGATAAAAAGATGCTGCATCTGAACAAAAGGCAACACAACTTTGACCTGGATTATGTGAAACTGTTTGAGAAGGGAATTTAAGTCTGATATGCGCCAGCAAAAACAACCGACTCAAACGGGCTAAGAGAAAAGCAATCAAAAGCAGAACTTTGTGTGACTATTTACTGCAGATATGAATACACTGTGACTACACATTTTGGTTTTTCCCTTTTAAACCTTTGCACACAAAATGTTTGAAAGTGACTGCACAGATTTACTTAAAAGGATGCATCTTTTCAATATGGCACACTTTTCTCACATAAGTCTGCAAAGACTTATGTGAGAAAAGTTTCAGATAATTTAAGAGAAAAGTTTCAGATAATTTAATCGGACGTTTTTCTTTATGGTGAAAAAATTCACCATAAAGAAAAACGTCCGATTAAATTATCTGAAACTTTTTTTTTTACTTGGAAAAACAAACTGCTTAGTTTCAAGTAACAAAAGCATAGCTAAGTATATCATATATCTGTGTATGCTGATTGGATGACTCACATGTCGGGGGTTAGTAATTAGTAAAGTAAAGAACGGCTCCTAACTTAACCAGCAGTATCATGCCTTTTAATTCCACAGTCTGATTTGTTCAATTATCACGTCACAGTTATTTGATTATCAGACTGATTTTCCTCTCTCTCTCTATCATCCACCCCCACTCCCCGCTCCCCTATGACTTGCAGTGACTCCTTAATTGGGGCTCAGCTGACAGTTTTTCCCCTCGGGGGAGCAGGCGCCATGTGGACCATCTGCTTCAAGTCGCAGGATGAACAGGTGTCCTGCTCCCGGCCGCCTGCCTGCACCTTACCAACCCTGTCGAAGTGCAGCACGGCACAGTGTTGTGCCGTGCTACACTGCCGTGTAGTAGCCGCCG